CCGATGTTTTGGAGGAAAGTATCACCTCCATCATGTCCTACAATCACATCTCGCAATGAGGCAGAAAGGAGTCCATTGCATGAGTATAAAAATATTTAAGTCTGCCTGATTATTTAACTGATTTAGTACATGATAAAAACAGTTTATAAAAGAAATAAGCGATGTCCTAATACATAATCCATCATATACTGTTGATGAATTTTTGCTTTTCTGTCAGGATCAACAGCTAAGGAATAGAAAGGGGAATGCATGCTGACTGATGGATGTCCCACAGTAGGCATCAATATACACATTAAGTGTAAATATAATCTGTATTTTATGTATTTATTTAGAGGCATGTTGTTTGCATTTATGTTTGTTTGTTATTGTGTGATATGGCATGTTGGAATTGTAAAGATGTATTCTTGTTTGTAAAGCTTGTGACATGTTTCATATTCAGTGCAGATTGCACTTATGAATATCCTTAAACGCAGATGTATGTAGGAAAATCTGTGAGTGAGGAACAAATGTGAGCAGGTGGCTAGCAAATCTACATGGCACCACATCCTACACAGTAATGTGTTGTCCAATTTCCAAAATCGTATCCTAGCACTTATCAGTTTTGAAAAAGAAAAATTCTTCAGGCATATTTTATAATTAAAGTTCTATACAAATTCAAACAAAAACATTTGATTATGTTAGTTATACTGGATAACATTTTAGGTATATTTCAAATACGAGACATTTCAGAAACTGGAGTTGGTTCCATCATCTGCCGTAAGTGCACGAAAGGATTGTACTCAGTTGGACCCATCAGAAGGCTGTAGTCAAATATTACCTATGGTAGATAGAAATATAAAGAGAAATCAAATCAACAGACATCTGTTGACATCAGATATCAGTTGGAGCTCCTCCCAGTGTTCCAACCTAAGCAGGATCATTTCCCCCACCTGGTGGCAGAAGTGGATCTAGCTTCTGAAATATCACATATTTTAAATGTATCTCAGGCAATGGATGGAGTCTAGCATATTTTCACAGTGAACATATCACTGTCACAAACCTTAAACAAACATAACACTCTACTTGTAAAAAGCAATTTATGTCTGTACATACTAGTGACGTTCATCAATGATAACTGTATATAGGGATGTTTTGAAACCAAGGCCAGACAAAACTATGAAATGGAACAAAACTTCCTTACCTAATATCTACAGTACAATACGGGTATAACCAGACTTGGCTAAAAATTATGACGATAATCTTGCAACATCTTTTGATGGAAACTGCAAATGTAAAATTGTTTTCAAGAAATGAAAGGACTAACATAAAAAGAGAAGCAGTTCTTTTGTTTTTCTGTGTATGAACAATCAAAGCAGGTGCTCCTATATAAGGTCTGTGATAAAAGCAGAACATGGAGACTTACATATGACATGGTAAAGGTCATTTCAATTGCATCACATTCTTCTAAGGACTGCCATTAACATATTGCTCTGTCTCGTCTGCAAAATGTCTGCCACTGCTCTCTATTATAAACTTAACTAGGGTTATTACACTGGACTTTGTGTAACTGACGATGTGAAGAGTGTTTCATGCCATGGCTTTAAAAATAATTCTTCTCATGCAGCAATACTTCCGTATGAAAATAAAACGTGTTTTTGAGATTTTTTGTAAAACAATTGGTCAAAAATACAAAAATATGTTGAGCACAGTTTTTTCTGGGTATTATAGCCTCATCCTCTTTGTGATGCACATTATTATATATTAATACAGTAATTGTTATAAATCACTCAGTGGTGAAAGTTCTTTTTCCTGTTGCATAAGAAACTGTTAAATGTATACATTTTTATATGTGTTGTTTTGTGCTAAAGAAAGGGATCCATAGTCCAATCTGATATTGTTTGCTTGTTACAAAATAAGGAAAAGAAATATTTATCCCTCTCTGAAATCTTTTGATCTTTGCCTGTGGTTTTACATAAAAATATATGTATATAAGTTAATATTGTGTATCTTGATGTTTACCCTCCAACTACTTGCATCCTGACTTAATACCTGCAGGTTAGGTCTGTTTGTTTTCTTTCATATACAATATTCCTATTATGAAGAGATCAAAGCAAGTAGACACCCATAAGGTACAGCTAGACTGTGGCCTTCATATTGAAGGTCTCAGGATTTGTACTCTACCGACTGAGTGCACATCTTTTCTCCTTATCACCTCCACGGAAACAGGATAGTGACTGGCTATTGGCTGGATGACCGAGGGGTTGGAGTGCAAGTTCCAGTAGTGTTAAGAATTTTCACTTCTCCATTCATTCAGACTGGCACTGGGACCCACCTAGCCTCCAATGGGTACTGGCGGTTTTACCCCTGGGAAAAAGCCCCCAGTACCCACTGTGTAAGACGTTGGGTGGACGCCACGGCCGGTCTGAATGAATGGAGAAGTTAAATTCTTGACACTACTGGGACTGGAACTCCGACCCCTTTGTCACCCAACGTGTAGCCAGTCGCTATACCGACCATGCTAGAGGAATAACAGTTAAATACCAAGTTAGTGAAATATTATTTTCCCATATTTTGTGAATTTAAATTTATTCAACCCACATTTTGTGCTTTTTAACCTTCCACAACTAATCGTTCCTACACAACCACTATTTTTATTTCATGCCATTATTTTAGAACTTAATTTGACCGGATTATGTAAGTTTGTGTAGAAAGTTTCCTTCACTCTTTATTTCATACTAATTAAAAAATTAATTTTGACACTAAATAATTGTACCTATGTGGAAATAGTTAATACTTACATAAAGAAACGTCTTAAAAATAATGACTGATATTAAATATACTGAGCTGACCAGTCTAAGGCATGTACTGTCTTCGCTCACTTGGAAACTGGGATCGTGGGTCTGAATCCCGCTTATGGCATGGATGTTTAGTTTGTGTATAGGTAGAGGCCTTGAGATGAACTGATCACCTGCCCAAGGAGTCCTACCGAATGTGCAAGATCTAGAAAAACCGAAGTGAACGGAGAAGTTCATGGAGGTAGGCCTAGGCCCACTGGGGCTGTAGTGCCAAGGGGAAAAAAATAAAATATACTGAACAGCTTCTTGATGTAAAGGTGCAGCTGTTCCCGTGCTTAACTAATTAACCATGAAGGTGTATCTGGCAGTGGATATATAGTTCCAAATTTTCTTGACCTTTGCACTAGTTGGAGGTTTGATGTAACTTTGCATAACCCCATTTAATGCAAAAAAGAAAATCATCTAAGATATTCACTGAACAGGTTCCCAGCGTGTGTTTTATAAGCTAAAAAAAAAAAAAACATGGCTCTTAGAACATTCAGTGGACAAGATTCCTAGAGCATGCTCTCAAATCCATGTTTCCTAGCAAAGAAAATTACAATTTCAGATTTTATGGCTCATAATATAAGAACTTTGACATGCTGAATACAAATCAATAGCCTTTGCCACACCTAGATTAAAATGATTCAAACATATATCTGTACATGCTAGTTACATTTAAACCATGATGCATAACTGAATGTTACAGTGTTATGGTAACATAAAAACAAAATTGATGCCTCCTATGGATCAGTGAGAAACGCTGGGCATTATGGAATACCTCGAGGATAAATATAAACACATGAACATCATTATTTGAACATTATTTAATAAACGTATTTACACACACACTTATACATATAAGAAAATTTTAATGTTTCATCCAATGAACCCACACTTGAATGGTGTGGGATATTACTGTGTTGGGCAGTTACCCACTTTTTATGACTATGCAGTCATGGAATAAAAGTAAAAATAAATCACTTTTGGGACAATTCAGTTCTGTAATAGATCTGATGCAATTATTTTGAAATCCGTGGATTTTATAATGGTATTTTGAGCACATATAAACTTGAGTACAGCCAAGCCATACTAACACTGCAAATGTATCTAAGAACATGTATATCAAGAATATGATTTTGCAGCAACTTCCTTTGTACAGGTTCTTCGTGTGAGAAAAAATAAACTGCTTATCAAAAAAAAGATTTGCAATTTGTAATAGTTTCACACTTAATTCAAAACACAATGAATCCCTTCTACTTTCAAACGAACTACTAAAGCAACACCCCACGTTGTGGTCTTCTGAGTTTGACACCTCGTAGTTCCACATACGGTTACCAAGATTTGGGAGGAAACAGCTGCTTGCATTTCCTATCCCAGAGATCCAAACAGCAGATTCCTCTAGCCAGCTGTTAATCACGTGCGAAACTTTGAGGTGTAATAACCCAAGCATTCACTTCCATCGTCATGGTAACTTCAAACCTCATACTTTCCATACATCACAAATTCTAATTGTTTAACATTATCACTTATTCTGGACACAGTTTCGTTAGAAAACAGCAATATAGGACTTAATCCACACTAAGATACTTGAAGTTGACTAAACGAAAACATAACCTCATTACGATCTAACCGTAGATTGAAACCCACTGGAGAACAGGCAATAAATTAAACTACATGCGATACTGTCCAACGCATATTGCAAGAAAAAATGAGAAGTACCATGTACACAGTAAGAACTAATTCTTTCGTGCATAAAACACACACAGCGTACGAAACTATGCAACTTCTTGAATTTGAACTTTAAAAACATTAGCGCGACCTAGCGGCATGAACTTCGTAAACGATGGCGCGACGGCGTAATAAAAGCCACCAAACCAAACAAAAGATTTGGACGGAATAGCAGGCTGCTTCATTCTGCGCACTGCTTCCCTAAATATGTTTACAATTTCATCCTAATTCATTAGTTACTTTAAGTAATATAACCTATGTTTCATGCTTCCTAATTTTTAAACTGTATTTAATAATCTCTTATGGTTTATTATTAAGTAACTCTGCCTTCAGATTAAATTATCTTATATTGTTCTTCATTATATTTTGGGATTAAGGTCTGAGTAAGGGAATGTCTGATCTAACCAATAGGAATTGTGCTCTAGAGGGGTTAGAGTATTGATGTCATAAAGCGCACACACTAGGCAAGATAGATATTACTTTCTTGAAGAACGAAATGGTTTGAATTTAGAGTCATTAGTTTTTAATCGTATACGTGTGCTACAAACAATCTGCCAATTCGTACGTTGTTTAATTATGTAATGATGATATGACTTCGAAAAAAAAATTGTATTTGTGAAATGTATGTAACGTGTTCGAGTAGTGATGCAGGCCTTGGCCGGTCGTTCCTTGTGGTGGATCGTTTGTTTGAGGATTCTGTACGGGTCTATGTCGTGTTCCGCCATTGTTTGGAAACATTTTTCAACAGAATGATTCGAATATCGGATATTTATTGCTGTGCATAAAATGAAAGTGTTACCGGGTAAGCGTGTAGTGTTTTACATTGTCATGTAGCGTTTGATCAGTTTTCATGATAACGCTTCGTGCACAGGCTATTGTGATATTTTGTTCTCCCGTTTGCGGTGTCGCCACATACGTATCGCAAGCTCGGGCTTTGTCACGTGGGTGTTAGTGTTTGTGCTGTAGTGGGAGGGGGAAGCACGATGGTTTTGCTGGAAACGCGTGTTGTAAATAAACTATGCATACATGTTGACATCGTAGTAATTAGACATGTGCTATAAGTTCAGTGTTAATATTAAGACCACACTGTTCTGTTTGCAGGAAATGCCTATTGAAACTTTAATTCACCAGGGAGTAAAATATGAGCTCGGAAAGAACGGAACCTGCCGGAGATTGAAGAGTTAGGGGGAATTTATTACGTATTTGTGAGCAAGCCTTTATTTTTTTTTCATGTAACAGCATTTAAGTGGAAGATTAAGATACATGCAGCAGATGGGCAGAGTAATATATTTCACTGCAGCAACAGATCAAAGTTCTAGTGGAAGAAATGATGGGAAAAGTATGTTGAAGTCAAGTTCTATGTCTGTTACGTTGGATTATGTTTGTGATTTTAAGATGCTTAAGTTCAGTGAAAATAAAACTTGCACGACCTATGTGTAATGCCCATTCCTGAATATAATGTGAGGGATTTTGTAAGATTCTACTGCTTCTGAGATAAACCCATGGATGAATGGGACTGAGATTTGCCTCGTTGAGGCATCCCAATGTGGTTGTCATGGCACCAGCTTTGACAGAAGCTGGCCAGTCTCAGAACTTCAAATTACCTCCATCTTCACATTCCTTGCCAGCATCTCCAGTAGGTGTATCTTTAAGTGCATTAAATAATATATCACAGTTGTTATCAAATGGGCATTTGTTGTGTAAAGATGGGCACGTTGGCCTTGTGACAAAACTCGCCGGACGAAAGCAACTGGAGCAGCAGTTGAACCTTATTGCAAAGGGTTTAATCAAGGAAATTCAAACAGAACCGAGTAACTTTGCATTCAACAATTTGACCACCCTAGCTGTAGCCTCAGCAAGGCGAAGTGAGGCCTTGCAGCCTGCAAGTGGTAAAGCAGGAGCCTGTGCGAGTGCTTCTGTAAAGAAAGGTGGATATATGATGAATAATTGTGACCCATCTATGGGGGACCAGGAAGATAACATGGGTTTACAGAAATCGAACACAACAGTGCCATCTTTGGAGTCCGGAAATTTTCTGAAGGAGAAGAGTCTTTCTAATGATATGGATCAACTTTTTAAAAATTTGGGTGCAGCCATTTCCAGTAGTGACCTGGGTGGTAGTGTAGATTTGGGACAGAACGTGGAAGAGCTTCTTCAAGTAATAAAGAGCATGGAATCTAACGCAACAGAACCAGATGTTCCATTGCATGGGGACTCTGTGGGCATAGAGGGTGGTGAGCCAGAAGGCATGTTTACAATATCAGATGGTACTGACATTGCTAGTGGTCTGTCAACATTTGAACGAGAATTGTTAAACGATGTGGACATGATGAACATGTGTGTTGATGTTAATCTAGCTGAAAATTCTTTGGCAGCAGAAAACAAAGAGGCTCTTACGAAGGAACGTTTAGAAGAAGCATGTAAGAAACAATTTGAGATGGAACGTAAGTGTGAGCGCCTTCTGAGAAGGCTCAGAAAGCTGCAGGCTCGGACGATGGGGAAACATGTTAGTGAAGAAGTGACGGGATTGTTGGAAAATGCACATAGGATGTTGAAGCAAAGTGCATCTCAGAAAGAACAAATAACTTCTTTGGGGTCAAATAGTGGTGCTGTAGGTGTGTCTGTGCCGACTGAAGAAACAAGTGCTGTAAAATCCGAAGTCTTTCGCAAGGACAAGAAATTCAAAGGTATCACCGCGTATGCAATGGCCACTCTCTTCAGGCGTTTGGATATGTTGTCACAGCAGCAGGCAGCCGTGTCCACTCGACACCAGTCATCACAGAGGTACTTCGGATCGGGTTCGGGAGATCATGCTCCACCAGCAACAGCCAGTAATGGTCCTCGCGTTCTGCCAAAGTTCAGTGCAGATGTCAAGAATGAACTGGAGAAGGTCTCTGGGCAACTTCACACACAACTCAAAATGGTGGAAAACTGTGTGGACTCTGATGCAACTGCCAGCAGTTCCGGAGGAGAAAGTTGTGATGAGATGCAGTCATTCAACAACCACCATCAGATGCACATCAGCATGTAAGTTGTACCGGTATTTTGTAACTGAAGTGTTCTATGTTATTAGAAGTTACGTGTAATACAGTTAGACGTTTTGTCGGTATATGCATATGTGCTCCCTTGGTAGTATGCTGTCATCTGTGGTTGTTATTTATTCTCATTTTATCATTATCGCTGTAAGTGTGTATTCCGAATTATCTCCAGATGCAAAATGTATTTAAGAGTATTCTTGTCCACAATTCATTTATTGTAGAAGATGTTATGTGCTCTGCATGTTTCATTAATCTTGGAATTACCATTTACATTTGCTCTGAAATTATGATCTGCTTGATGTAGTGCGTGTCCTGAAACATTTTAGTGTATTCTACCAGAAAGAAGAAAGAGTCAAATGACAATAGGTAGAAACAAATTTCCATGATATGTTTAGAAACTTTAGGAAGTATCCACAAGGATATGAGAGTGTGCTTGTTATCAGATGAGTTACAGATGTTTTACACCAGCAAGTAGCCTAAGGGCTGCATCCAGCTGAGAAAGATAGTCTGTGTGAATCCTGCAAGACCATAGTCTTTCATTTTGACCTAAATGAAAATCAAATTGCTGCTGGGTCCGTTACTGCATTTGGCACGCGGTAGTGTAATTGGTTGAGGCACTATTCTACAAGCCGGAAGATCGTCGGATTGAATCCTGATAAGGTGGATTTTTTCAATTGACTTAATCTTTCCAGCTGCACTATGGCCCTGGGGTCAACTCAGCCTCTAACAAAAATGAGTACCAGGAATCTTCCTGGGGGTAAAGGGTGGCCAGTGCGTAAGGCTGACAACCTTACCGTCATCTGTGAACCGATTGTCTAGAAAATGTGGGAACTTCAACATCTGAGAACCCTATGGACCTCCACGATTTCTTGCAGGGATACCTTTACTTTACTTACCGTGGATCGGAGCGAAAAATATGGTCACTAGTAGGAGTCAAATTTTGGCAGGTGACTGTTTTTCTAGTTGGCATGTGGTAGCTGTCTTCCGATGTTCTTAAGATCTCTGTTACTTGTGGCACAGGAAATGGTGAACCACATTGTAAACTAAGGTCAGCATGCCGTATTTCCCGGTATAAAAGATGCACAGGTGTATGATGCAGAATGGTTTAGCAGAAATATATTTAAAAATATTCATTAGTTATGACAAAGTTATTTAATTATAAATCAGAGTAACAGGTCTGCCTTACATCGTGTACATAATAAATGGAATATTGGTAAGCATGGGTCTAATATTTGCTGTTAGCACATTTACTTCCCAGTGGGGAAGGTGCACTGCAATTTTAGGGCCATTTTTCAGGAAGTCTTCAACACCTTACACATTTGTAAATGATAACAATCTCACTGCCCTCATTTTGGGGCGTGTTATGTTATTCCTGGCCTGCGGGTGTTTTAAGTGAAATGGTGCAATGATGGGATAGGAGAATTTCTGAGAACGCCTAATCTCCACCTCTCCTTTCACCACATGTTGAGTATTTTATATGACACAGACTGCATAGAAAACAACATGTCCAACAGTTCTGTTGCATGTGTATTCATTGCTGTGGGAACATGTTTAGTGAACCATTGCCTGACAACTGCCATCTCTTCTGGCCCCATTATTCTGGCTTTCAGGCATTGGGGGAGATGCATAGACAGCAAAGTGAACTCTTAGGCTTTTCATTTTTTTCAGAATAGGGAATTAGGCTAAAAATCTGCACACTGGGCAGGGGTGAGGGCCACAGCAAGACGCAAGAAAATATTGATCTGTCTTAGGTTACTGAAATTACTGCCTGGCCACCAGATGTTCAGACAGTTTTCAACCCTCTGGCCTATTGTAAGTTCTGTGCATTATTAGACTCTGTCAACTATTATATTTTTATTCAAAATGGTGAAATCACTAGATATTTGTATTTGCAAATTCATTTTATTTGTGTTACGTAATTGACCAGGACAGTTTTTAGGGGCAAGAAGCAGTGAAGGTAGGTAAGAAGAGTGGGCGTGTATGCGGCTAATAGGCGTCTGAGTTGGTTGAATGTCAATGTAATTACATTTATTTTGACCCATTGGCACCCAGTATACCAGAGATTCCATGAAATGTGTTTCATTTGAGCATATATCTTTGCCATATCTGATAATAGCTTTCCCACCCAGGGAAATCAGGAATTGCACTTCAAATATAAAGCAGTCTGTCACTCTGTAAAGGAAACGGGCCCAAATTTTTACAATGCAGATACAAGTTATAGAGTATGGCCAATAGAAGAAGATGAGATTTTTGGTTTTTAAGTGTAAGGGCGAATTGGGGAGAAGAGGAATGCATATAGGATATTGGTGGGAAAGCCAGCAGGAAAGAGACCACTGGGAAGATCAAGCCGTAGGTGGGTGGTCAATATTAAAGTGGATATTAGAGAGATAGGAAGAGATGCTATGGATTGGGTTGATCTAGCTGTGGATAGGGACGAGTGGAGGGCTCTCGTGAACACGGTAATGAGTCTTTGGGTTCCATAATATGCTGGGAAATTCCTGAGTAATTGCACAAATCGTGGCTTCTGAAGAAGGGCTCGGCCCCATCAGTAAGTAAGTGTAAGGTAGATCCTTGGAGGAAGTCCATATGCATTGTTGCCAGATGACTTTCAGCTATGTGCTCTTGTCCAAGAGTATTGTTGTTTTCGCAGTTACATTTCCACCAGCAAAGTGCATTAAGGTCTTTTGACCAACATCTTTCCTGTGAAACTGCAGTGCTGGATATTTGTACTGTGTGCCGAACTGAAGTAACAGAACATGATGTAGAACGTTTATTCAACTAAGAGGCTTGGCATAGCAGCAAGTCACCTGCTTCTCACTGCATTGACCTGGGTTGGATCCCAAGGTATGTCGTATGGGGTTTGTGGTGCACAAAGTGGCACTCTGGCAGGCTTTTTCAAAGTAGTGCATTTTCCCTTGCCAGTTCTCTTTCACCAGTTTCTTCACAGCAGCCTATCTTGAACACCCTGTAACATTTTCCCTTGCCAGTTCTCTTTCTCCAGTTTCTTCACAGCAGCTTATCTTGAACACCCTGTAGCATTTTCCCTGGCCAGTTCTCTTTCTCCAGTTTCTTCACAGCAGCTTATCTTGAACACCCTGTAGCATTTTCCCTTGCCAGTTCTCTTTCTCCAGTTTCTTCACAGCAGCCTATCTTGAACATCCTGTAGCATTTTACCTTGACAGTTCTCTTTCTCTAGTTTCTTCACGGCAGCCTATCTTGAAGGCCCGGTAGCATTTTACTGAAAGCATCATTGAAGAACCAACTCAAAAATAAGTCTGTGGACTCATATTGAGGAGCTGGGTTCGAATCTTGGCCAGAACACCGTGTAGCGCGAGTGAGGTTGTGTTCTCTGTTTCCAGGCAGTACCTTAAACAGGCCATGCATGGCTGCCCCTATCCAAATTCTTTCCGATTCATCAGTCATTCTGCGACACAGAGTTATTTAGACTAAGTACCCATGACTTAAAATAACCCATGTGCATATATTTGTAGTTTATTTATCAGTGCTGACAGTAACTCGGGCTGTGTAGGCTATATGATGGGTGTAGATGAATTGGAAAGGATGAGATTAGAAGTTATCATGACCTACTTTAAGCAATAATCCTGGCATTTTCATGGAGCAAGTCAAAAGATTTTAAGCAGCAGCCAGCACATAATAGTATAGTAGATGCAGCGTGTTGTTTTGTTTTGTTTTGTGTGGAAGTGTGCACATAAGCGTAGGATGCAAAGGACAATTGTCAGGTTGGGTATCTTATACATGAACATCTTCACAGTGCTGAGGTAGTTCATTTGCGCCATGTGGCTGCTGATAACTTAATCAGTAAGCTGTGCATCGTCTGTAGCTAATGAAACATGCAACGCACTTGGGAGAGTGATAGAATTGTAGTTGTGAGAACTTCGTACATCTGTACGGTGAGTAAATGCATGGGATTGCATAGATATGAAGTCGTGATGTCACATTGGGTGACACTGATTATTTATTTCACTGTGATTGATTGAAGTCATCAGGTTTTGCACTTTGATACCTGTTACCATTATATCTTGGGGAATGCAGTAGCATAAATTAGTTGAGGCACTATGCTACAAGTCAGAAGGTCATGGGTTCAAGTCCTGATGAGGTCATTGGTTATTTTGCAAGTAACCCAATCCTTCCTGCCGCACTGTGGCCCTGGGGTTGACTGAGCCTCTAAAAGAACTGAGTACCAGGAATCTTCCTGGGAGGTTAAGGGTGGCCAGGGCATAAGTCTGACGACCTCACCGCCATCTGTGAGCCGATTGTCTAGAAAATGTGGGAACCTTGACCTCTCACGCCCCTATGGGCCTGCACAGCCTGTTACAGGGACAGCTTTTCCTTTACCTTTTATCATTATACCATTCAGGCTAATGACTAAAATTTTGTCTAAGGATATTTATGTCACTGGAGCTTTTCTGGCATGAGGCAGTTCGTGTAGGAAATACTACTGTCATGGCAGTGTCATTTTCTGAGCAGTGGTAGCACATCTTTATTATACCCTGTTAATGGCTCATGTAATAAGATCATATGGCAGTGAGTGATTGGGTGATACTGAGTAATGGATTTGAAAGAATTGTTTGGCATTGAACATTTATGGCTAATTTAAGGTATTGTCTTAAAATTTGCCCTGGGGCGATCGAGGAAAACCACGAAGGACCTCAATGGAGATGGTCACTGCTCTGGCCGAGATTCAAACCAGACATCTTCCAAATACAAGTTGAAAGCCTTTCTGTTTGAGCCAGGAAGCTCGTTATATCCGTGTTACGCAGGAAGATAACATGATATGAAGCTGCTAGAGACATATTTAGAAATTTAAATTGGACTTTGTGTATGTTACTTTACAAAAAAACGTATTTATTTCTAGCTGAAACCAGATCTGACAACCTGCATGAAAATTCAAGTGGATACATTTAATATTTAAGATGTATGTATGTATTATGAGAGGGGGTGGGTTTCCCCATGCACTTAGACCAGTTA